AACAAGTGCAGTGCTCACTTCACTCCATCAGCAGGATGGAGGGAGCATGAAGTCCCTCAGCCATCTCCTAACATCTTCCAGGGTCAGTCTGGCTGCTTTTCCTTCAACCAAACAACTTTGTTAATCTTGAAAAAACTAATGCATTTCTATAAATATTGTGTTAGTTACTGAAGTAAACAAAGATGAACTAGACTACGATGTAAGAAAAACTACAAATAACTGTAGTAAAATTCCTTCTAAAGTTCACATGCAAACTCAGTTTACAGTGACATCTTTTCCTCTTCACAAGTACTCTGGGTAAATGGTACTAAGCAAGTAACCGCATTATCTGCCCACCACAGACCAAATAAAGTCCAGTCCCCACTGATGACCTGAGGTCCACACTGTTGCTCAACTTAGTATGACAGAGCTTTCTCCAACACTGCCATAATCCAAACTCTGTATGTCCTGTGAGGTCATGTACTTTCTCTTGAAATGATGCCTTAATTGTTGTCTCACTGAATAGAATAAATAACCAGTTCTGAACAACACTGCTCATTCTCCAGAGAATGAGCAAAATCTCTTTCCTGGTCTATAGGATACTCTAGCTATCTCCAATATCCAGCTATGCTTTTCCCCTCCTCCTACTAAAATTTCCTTTTATGATTGTTTGTAAGTTAGCAGACAAAGGATGGGGTCTGACTATGGCACATTCACATCCATCCATCCTTTGTTGTCATCTTTCCCCTTTTGCACTGCTCTATTTTCTAAATAAGTCTATGAAGTAGTACCATTTTTATCCTAACTGGATGAGATCAGAGAAGCATGTAATCACATTGCTTTCCTTTGACTGTGAGGTTAGCTTAGCTTATGATAGAATCAAAAATCACTGACTTCAGAGTAAAGAACTATAAAATGACTAGATCAAACAAGCCACAAGCCTTGCTCTGTACCATCTAGTCAAAAATGTCAATACAAACTTTCATTTTGGAGCAAACTAATATTGTCTTACAAAGTGATGTATCATTATCAATCACATTTAAATACCAACTCTGAATAAAGTTGGGCACCTACTTTGAATAAATTTGGGTAAACAGAGAATCATCCTAGTTTATAGCTAAAGGTAAAATAGATAAATAGAAAATTATATTAAGTACATATTTTTCATATTCAGAGCACTTTGTAATGGCTAATAGTAGACAGTAAAGCTTAAAACCCAAATCATTAACAACCTTAAACAAATAAAAAATGAGCTTTTAACATTTAAAAGACAAAATGGGGCTGAAGAAATGGCTCAACTGTTAAGAGCACCAACCGCTCTTACAGAGGACCAGGATTCAGTTCCCAGCAACAACATGGTGACTAACAGCCATCCATAACTAAAGCTCCAAGGGTTCCAACACCCTCTTCTGACCTCTGCAGGCGTTGCATGACTTAAGTGCCCTTACACACAAGCATGAAATATACTCATACACATAAAATTAAAATAAATAAATGTTTGAATTATAAAATTAAAATGCTGGGTCTGGTCATGCTTATGTATAATCCCTTGGAAGGAGGGACATCACTTGGAAGTCTGAGGTAAGAGGAATAGGAAAGGAATACACTGAGTCAAGGTGAGCCTGAGATGCATGAAAATCTCAAAACATAAGAAAAGAACTAAATATGTAACTTCTTAGGTTAGGAAGTAGAAATAACAACATAAAAAAGTTCTAGAAATTTATTGTTGTCAGTTGTCGGCTAGAGAGAGCTAAGTGGGTCTTTGATTTAAAGAGATAGAAAAGGAGTATCACAATTATCTACAACCAAGAAGTTCAGGGAGCCGCTGCTCCACTGTGGGGCTGGTAAACACCACCCTGAACACACCTCACATGCTTCTGTCTTCAATCTGCACAATCACTCAGCAAAAATGCCTGCTTTTGGTCTCATCTGAGCAAAAACTTTTGCCCATAAAGATTGGCTTCCACTAGCTTTATCATAGCCCAAAATGATCTGGAAGCACTACTTAAGTTATGACAAAATGAAGTCTATTCTACCATCTCCCCTCTGTTCTTCCTGGGACTCTAAGAAAACATAGATCAATACACTCTAGCACTAGGATTTTTCAGTAAAAATTTTACTTGTAGCAAATGTGGGGGGGGGGCCTTAAGCACGATCTGTCACTTTCAGTTTAACAGCAAATGCACTAATAAACTTTTATCCATGGGTCACGTTTAACAACAAACAATGTGATGCCAGCTCTTATTAAAGACTATTCATATCAATGCCCCCAAAATTTCTTTTAAAATTACCATCTTTTGTGTCCATGTAACAGGACATCAGTTTTAGAAGTGCCAGTGAAGGATAGGGCCTGTCACCACAATTAATTCACAGCATTGTTTCAGCATCAGAACAGCTGACACCCCACCCCGGGGTACATTTTTGGTAAGCAATATTTATGTTGCGATTATTTCGACAAATCAAAAATATTCTTTCTAAATTAGTTTTCAGGAAAAGAAAAACATGCCAAGTATCACCTACAAATATGTAAATCAAAATGTTGAAAAGTAAATAAAACTGTCAAAACTATCAAACTGGATGTCTGTAAGGTTAGATGAACTCTGGATAACACATCCAGAGCACCATAATATTTAAACCCAACATTCATAATACAAAAATTGCAAAAGAAATAGATATTAAATAGAAGAATATCTTTATAAAAAGAAAGAAGAAAAACAGTTAAAATTTTCTTTGGAACTTAAGATTCTTCCTTTTAAAATGTTATTAAAATAATGTATGTCTCTGACTAAACAAAACCAAGCCTGAATAAAATGACAGAAATCTACTTGGGAGAGGGAACATAACTCAGTGGTAGAGCACTTATTCACCATATACAGGACTTGAATTTTATCTCTAGCACTGCCAAAAAAGTAAGTTAATACAAACATTTATATTTAATACTATAGTTCCCTATTAGGGACGCTCTAAAAATGACAAAAATAATTGTTCAATAAATTGGCAAAAAAATTCCATAAAAAGTAAGAATATATATATATAATAAAAAGGACATGGATGAAACCATCATCACCCTCACAGGAACTATTCAGCATGGGTCACTTCCTTGTGTGCACATATACTGTATATTTATGTTCACATGATATATTGTTACTGTACTGTATGCTTAAACATATATTATTTAAGGTATCCAAAAACACTCTAAGTGCACTAATATGGCATCATTTCCTTCATGATTGCATAGCAGGACTGCAGATACAGATCCTGGAAGAGTAGGCAAGCATGCTTTAATAGCAGCACATCTACATCCCTGCAACCACAGCGTGTTAGACACTCAAAGACTGCCCAAGCACACCTTGTGCTTTCAAAGTTAGACTCATAAGTGCCTGAGGGTGCGATGATGCTCAACAAAGATGAATGTTCACTCAACCTATAAGAAAAATTAGGAAGTTATGTTTCTGAACCATGAAGTAAAATACTGTAAGTAAAATTTTTGCTTTTTAATAAGCTTGGTCTGGAATTTTATGAACTTTGCAGGCAATATGAGTTGACTACATGATTACAAGAGAGGTTACACTGAAAACAAAGTTATATTCATCCTACAAAGATAAGCTTTTGGTTTTATGAGTTATTGGTTCTCCCCATAGTATACAAGAAATGAACAGGATTGCTTCATAATATGAATGTGAGAAAAATTTAAGGTTAAAAAGAAGATTGAACTCATCACCAGAAGTGATGAAATTTGACTTTATACTCTGCCTTCATCAATTATTAGATTTTTTTCCTGGTTCTAGCAATATTATCAAATAACCTGAATCTTTATTTCCTTCTCTCTGTAATTATTGGAGATTAAAGGATAAGAATCAAGACTACCTTGAAATAATGTATACAACAAATATTAACCATCAAACACTATAAAATAGAGTAATGTGACTAATGATATATCTCTTTTCAGCCCCTGATGCTTGCATGTGCTATGCGTTCTGCCTGGTGGTTTACATGCAGTGTGTTTCCCTATTTGCATATCCCTCATCACAACAACTTTTTCTCAGTGTGCATCTTATTTATAATTGTATTCCTACAGTCCAGAAGAATACTTGGGATAAAACAGAGATTTATAAATGAATAAAAGTAATATATGTCTTCAACTTGCCTATATTTTCCTTGGGTTCACTATGGTTGTTTATTTTCTTTTTCAAAGGTTTATTTATTTTTATTTTATGCTTTATTTTATAAAGGCTTTGCCTGCGTGAATGTAGGTGTACTACGCACCTGCAGTGCCCATATTGGTCAGAAGGGGCAGATGATTCCCCTGGAATGGGAGCTACAGAGAGTTGTAAGTTGCCATGTGAGTGCTGGGAACCTAACCAGGGTCTTGTGCAAGGTCAGCAAGTGTTGAGCCATCTCTCTAGACCCTGGATTCTCTATAGATATGACTTATATGACCAGTTCCTTACATTCCTGTAATAACTTTAGCTCTAGGAATGTTAGTAGGAATTCAGTGGTATTAACTTTCTATGGTTTGATGGAGGACCAGAGTTAATGAACATTTACTACAGGTTTGGAACTGATACAGCTATAAACAGAACCTTTGAGCTCGACCACATTGACATTTTTTCTTTAATGCATAGCAGTTATACCTGCAGAACTATTGTTACTAGGGAGGAAAAAAAAATCAAAAATTCAAATGAGGACTAGAAAGTAGTAGAAGAAAATACTACATGTTTCACTCCATCAAAACATGGTAAAATATGATTCATTTTGATAAGGTACACAGGTTGGGAAAATGATTGACAAATTTTAAAACCTATCTTAAATTTACTTGACATTATCAGAACTTTGATAATATAGTTTGTATAGTGACTTGCGTGAAGCATTTTATGGTTTAAAAAAAATCAAGCAACATGTCTACATAATTGCTTTTACATATATAACATATAATATATGTATTATATAATCACATAGTATATGCATTTCATGCAATTTCATGTGAGGCATACAATTTCATAAAGTGAAAACAATTTTACCTCTCACAATAAGTTGAGCAAAATTGGAGACCCCAGAACCTCGTTCTGACTGAGTTACACAGCGGTACAAATCCTGGTCAGTTTTTGTCACTTCCTGCAATCTAAACGAGGCAGCAAATCTTCTGTGATTGATGTTCTTAGTCTGGGCTACAGGAATGTCTTCTCCATTTCGTCTCTGCAAACAGAAACCAATCTTTAAAAACAGGTTGTTATACTTCTCATAAATCTAAAGTATCTTGGTAAGCAGTATCTGTGATGAATTATTCTTGTTGCAAAATTACAAAGATGTCTTTGTAGAACCACAAATTTTTGGCTTTGTCATGCAATCAGGAAATGAGGAAACACTGATATCCTCTAAAGGGTGTAGAGTCACTACTTTGTTAATAATCTCAGTTTTCCATAAAATTGTTACAGCAAAATACAGATATTAACAGAAGACTTAATGGCTCCATAACAAAGAATCCACAGCCTCTTTGTGTCCAAAGAAGATGTGTTAGCTTCTAATGGCATCATACTATTAATGCATGTGATATCTGATATATAACACCAAACACAGTCAGGATCATGTCATATATGTCTTTATTGCAAATACAGAGCATGTACTAGCCAAAGAATGAAAATAAACTGCTTATGAATAATTGAGAGTCAATTCCAAATCTGTGCTTTTTGCAAACCCATCTCTTTGTGATTAATGACAGCCAATTTATATATTATAAAGAAGTAATCAAAAAAGCCTAAGTGTTCAAACCATACCTGTCAATTTTGGAAATGAAAAATTGGAAAACATACTCATAATATCATATCAGGGTATCTTACACAAGACCAATAATGGCAAACTATAAAGGAAATGATAGAAGATTTCAACTACGATAAAATTTATAACTTCTATATGTTGAAAGAAACCATAAATAAAGGGGGTGGGGAGCACAGGCTGTGATAAAATATTTGTTAAAGAAATAATCATCAAAAGATAAACAGCTCAGATATGTAAAGAGCTTCTATAGTTCAAAAAGAAAAAGGAAAAACAAAGCAGTAAAAAACTAGACAGGCTATAAAAAGAGAAAATGCGTATGTCTAAGAAAGGAAAGGATACCATCAATCTAAATATTAAAAACACTCGATCAATGGCAAAGAAAAGTTTTACCATAAGAAAGAACTGGGGAGCTGAAAGATGGTGCAGCAGTTAAGAGCACTGGCTGGGTCTGATTCCCACGACCCATAAGATGCCTAAAAATAGTCTTATCTCCAGTTCCAGGGGATCCGACGCCTTCTTCTGACCTCCGAGAGCATTACACAACATAGGTACAGTTACATACATGTAGGTAATACACTCATACACATAAAAAAGTAATAAATAACATTTTTAAAATAATAAACTATTTTTAAAAGAAAGAATTGGTCATGAGCTCAATTCCATTTCTGAGTGGTGCAAAGCTAAGTAGCCCTATTATCAATTAATCATACATCAAATATCATGTCATAGGACTAATTATTAATAAGAAAATATATACACTTACTGGCATTCACACTGTAATACACATAAAAAAGTAATAAATAACATTTTTAAAATAATAAACTATTTTTAAAAGAAAGAATTGGTCATGAGCTCAATTCCATTTCTGAGTGGTGCAAAGCTAAGTAGCCCTATTATCAATTAATCATACATCAAATATCATGTCATAGGACTAATTATTAATAAGAAAATATATACACTTACTGGCATTCACACTGTATTATTTTTTTTTTTTTTTCCTGTAGCCCCAGCTTTCCTGGCTCTAGCTAGGTAAACAAGATTGACCTGAATCTCACAGAGATCCACCTGCTTCTGCCTCCCGAGTGCTGGAGTTAAAGGTGTCATAACCATGCCTGGTGTACTGGTAGTGATTTAAAAAATGATTTATTATCATTTAGAAAAAACAAAGACTAGAGATGAAATACCCTGGATTTGATCTCCAGCACCACATAACCAGGTATCCTGGTTCATACCTGCAATCTCCATACTTGGAATATGAAGGCAGGAGGCTCAGAAGTATGAGTTAATCTTCAGCTACAAAATACCCAGGAAAGAAAGAAGGAAGAGAGGATGGAGCAGAGGGAGGGAGTGAGGAGAAGAAAAGGAGAAAGATAGGGAGAGAGGAAGGGAGGGAGGGAGGGAGGGAGGGAGGGAAGCAGGGAAGGACAGAGGGAAGGAGGGGGAAAATGTATAAACATCAATTCCATTTCTAGATTTCCATGTTTGAATCATTCATATATGTGTGATCAAGGAGATGAGATGGGAAGGCTGAATTCAGCATCATTTATACCAGTTACATAGAGGAAAGATCTAAGTTGTTTACTCATTCAATAAAAGGCAATGTAGCAATTAAACTAAGCCACTGTGTCCAGAGTTGTGATGGTAAAGGTGGAACAACTATTGCTTCAACCATAAACATAAAGAGCTACTTTGTGTCTTTTCTCAATTGCAAAGCTGTACACAATCTATGGTTCAACAACTTCAAAATAGAAATGTGCTAACAATAGTTCTAAAAATTCTTGAAATTTTAACAATTTTCTGGTGCTCACTGGATCCATATTTCACGGGATAGTCATATATGTGAGTTTAAATCTCAAGAAACCAAAAGAAAGAGAATTCCTTACACACAATGTAAATTAGAGGGTAGATCCGTTAAAGAGGATTCTAAAGTTTTACAAACTTTTATGGAACCTTATTGAGGTAATTTTATGTATACTTTTTAAAATATTTATTTATTTTTATTTTATGTGTATGAGTGTATTGCCTGCATGTATGTAGCTGCACCTGTCTTGTGCAAAGCCCATGGAGGTCAGAAGATGTTGGATTCCCCTGGAACTGTAGTTACAGATGGTTGTTAGCCACCCTGTTGGTGCTGGGAATCAAACCTGAGTCCTCTGCAAGAGCAGATAGTGCTTTTAACCACTGTCCCATCTCTCCAGCCCCCGATTTAATGTATATTAAAAGGGGATATTGCATTGCTTTAATGATTCTTTATCTTGTTTTATTATTGGGAGGATGCTAGAGGTCAAAACCAAAGTCCAATAATGTCCTAAGTCCTAAACGGCACTACCGTTAACCATATTTCTCAAAACATGAAATTGTTTACATATATCTTTTGTAATAAAGATCTGTGTGAGCACATGAATACATGCATGCCCAAGTCTGACTTAGGATTTTACCAGGTTTCATTCATCATTTTGTTAATTCTCTCCTTAACCACTGATGGCATGAATTTTGTAACAACAACGCCTGCTCATTAACCTGAATAAGGCAAAGCATCTTATATTCAAAGACCCCAAAATATAAAAGTCAGAAATGAGTCTAAATTATTTCTTTCCCACAACTCACAGAAACAAAAATAGACATTACATGTGCAAATCTCAGACTGCAATTTCTTTTCAATTACCACAGCAGCTCTATCTGGTCTTTCTAACCGGAAGGCAAACTTGACTTAGCAGTCTTTTCCCAGGAGTCTACTCTCATCCAGTCCTACTTATCCTCTAGTAGGGCCCACAAGGCTTGCAGCCTCTATATCTGCAACTTACTCTCAGTTCTTCCGCAAAACTCATCACTCTTGTGTCTGCCTGCCTCCTGGATCCTCTTGCTCCTGAGCAGACCCTCTAACTCTTGCTACAATGTCTTTCAAAACTCCTTCACCTCTGTAAAGACCCTCCAGGTACTCTCATCATTAGAGATAGTATTGACAGGGCTGGAGAGAGGGCTCAGCTATTACGAGCACTAGCTGCTTATGCAAAGGACCTGGGTTCGATTTCCAGCACACACATGGCGACCAACAGTCCTTAACTCTAGTTCCAGGGGATCTGATGCCCTCTTCTAGCTTCAGTGAGCATTACACAACAGGTACACTTACACTTAAAAACACTGGCACACTTACACACTCATACACAAAAAAATTTTTAAATGAATACAATATTTTTTTAAAAAATTGTAAAAATAGCTCTAGAGAAAGGTAGGGAAGGAAGCCACATGACTTTGCAATTATAAAATTATGAAATTCATAGTAAGGGGAGAGTTGAGCACAGCAAAGAAACAGTATGATTAACCATTGGAAGTGGGTGGCGGTTCTGGAAACAAGATGTCTGGCACGGTTCTTCAACATTTCGGAATCTGGCACATGAAACGAACAGAGAGAGAGACAGAGACAGAGAGACAGAGAGACAGAGAGACAGAGAGAGAGAGAGAGAGAGAGAGAGAGAGAGAATATATCTATACAAAAATCAGAGCTGAGGATAAATTAGCCCAGGAATCCCAGAATGCAAACATCCATGTATTTTAATAACATACGGTAAGAGAAGAGGGAAGGCACAGTTTTCTGAATAGTCATTACAGTCCAAAATTCAAGAAAGCTTAGTTCACATAAAAATTAACAACTTAGGGCTGGTGAGATGCCTCAGCAGGTTTAAGGCACCTGTCACCAAGCATGAAGGCCTAAGTTTCATTCCTGGACCTATGTAGTTGAAGGAGAGAATGAATTCCTTGAAACTGATCTGACATACATACATACATACATACATACATACATACATACATGAATTGCTTGAAACTGATCTCTGACATATATACATACAGACAGGCAGACACACACATACTAGAGAATTTAATATTCTAAAATAAGCAACTTAAAAGTATGAAGTTCAAATCAGAGCAATACGGTCACTGGATACTAAGTTACAGTTAGATATGAGAAATAAGTCAGATGTCCCACTGCACATTAAGATGATTAGAGATAATGATAATGTATCATATATTTCAAAATGCCTAGAAGAATAATTTAATGCTCTTCTCATAAGGAAATGATAAACGTTTAGAAACATAGAAATGCTTCCTCTAAGATGAGTCTGCTGGAGCATACCAGCAATCCTAGTGTTCAGAAAACAGAGCCAAGAGGGGCACAGGTTTCAGGTTGTCAGGGGCTACGTAGTGACCTTGAGGACAATGGAGGCTATGTGATGAGATCCTTTCCTAAAAAGAGAGGAAAAAAAAGAAGGAAGGAATATAGGAAAAAAGAAAGGAAGAACTATTTCCCTTAAGTTGTAATTCAAAACATCACATGGTTCCCCATATATGTGCAGAATTATTATGGTGAAATATAATTAATGTATTTTATACAAATAACATAAACAATAAAGATGATATGCTAC